GAGGACTCGGGCGTTGGAGCTCCTACTGGTGCTGAGGACCCGGGCGTTGGAGCTGCTGCTGGTGCTGAGGACTCAGGCGTTGGGGCTGCCACTGGTGTCCCTGCTGCTTCTGGAGACGCGGCGCGGCCGCGACCGTACTTCGTACCGCTCCTTCAGCAGGTTCTTGGTCAGGCTCCTCCTCCTAGTCCTCCTCCCTCCGTCGAGTGTCCTCTGCCTGTCCAGCTGCAGTCACAATTACCGCCTGCCTCGCCTCTCCCTGCTCCCTCTCCTTACGCTGGTCCCACAGGAGGTCTTACAGAGCGTCGTGAGCCTGAGTCTCGTCCTGCGTCGCCTGTTCGTACTGCTCGCACTGGTCGTCGTGTCCCACGTGAGCGTCCTCCTCCTGTCCCTGGCACTCACTACATGACTCTGCGCCCCTCCACTCTCCGCAGCGTGTCCCGCTGCCGTCTCCTCCTGCGTCCTCTCTTCCTACTCTTCCTGACCCGGAGTCTGACTCCTGTCGTGCTGCCAGTCCCACTGTCACGCGTCTCCTCGCTACAGTTATCACTGACCCGACCTTTGAGTCCTCTGCTGCGTCTGCTCTGGTCACTGAGTTGGTTGACTTTGCTGCTCGCTGTCGCCTAGACTACGCTGCCAGCCTTGTCGCTAGGTCTGAGTCTGCGTCTGCCTGTCCTCCGTCCGTCGGGGTTGAGTGTGCCCTCGGCACGGACGTCCTTGAGGACAGACAGGAGGAGTTCCACTGCCTTGCTGCTGCTTTGCCCCGTCTCGTGTCCTTGCTAGTTGCCCCTGAGGGAGACCCGGATGCACCAGACATCCCGACCCCACGCTCTTACGCTGAGGCGATGGCGGGTCCCTACTCCTCTCAGTGGCAGACAGCCATGGACGCAGAGATGGCCTCCTGGAAGTCCACAGGCACCTACGTAGACGAGGTTCCCCCTCCTGGGGCGAACATCGTCAGTGGCATGTGGATTTTCAGGGTGAAGCGGCCGCCGGGTTCTCCACCTGTCTTCAAGGCGCGCTACGTGGCTCGAGGCTTCAGTCAGCGAGAGGGAGTAGACTTCTTTCAGACCTTCTCCCCCACCCCGAAGATGACTACTCTTCGGGTGCTGCTGCACATAGCCGCTCAGCGCGACTACGAGCTTCACTCTCTTGACTTCAGCACTGCTTTCTTGCAGGGCAGCCTGCACGAGGAGATCTGGCTGCGCCGCCCCCCTGGCTTCACTGGGTCAGTTCCTCCTGGCACCCAGTGGAGGCTTCAGCGGCCGGTCTACGGTCTCCGCCAGGCGCCACGTGAGTGGCACGACACACTGAGGACGACACTTGCGGCTCTTGGGTTTGCTCCCTCTACTGTTGACCCGTCGCTGTTTCTACGCACCGACACCTCGCTGCCGCCGTTCTACATCCTCGTGTACGTCGACGACTTGGTCTTTGCCACTGCTGACACCGCGGCACTCGCTCACGTGAAGTCGGAGCTGCAGAGGAGACACACGTGCACAGACCTGGGTGAGCTGACGAGCTATCTTGGCTTGCGGATCACCCGGGACAGAGCACGGCGCACCATCACCCTGACTCAGTCACACATGGTGCAGCAGGTTCTCCAGCGCTTCCGCTTCACGTACTCCTCGCCTCAGTCCACTCCTCTGCCTACCGGTCACTCGCTCTCAGCTCTGCCTTCGGATGAGTCCGTAGAGCCGAGTGGCCCGTATCCAGAGCTTGTGGGCTGCCTCATGTACCTGATGACCTGCACTCGACCTGACCTTGCATACCCTCTTAGCATCCTAGCACGCTATGTCGCTCCTGGCCGTCACCGGAAGGAGCACATGGATGCTGCTAAGAGGGTGTTGCGCTACTTGTGCAGCACGTCGGGCATGGGGCTTGTGCTTGGAGGGCGAGACCGGGTTGTTCTCACAGGGCACTCAGACGCTTCTTGGGCAGACGACCAGGCTACTCAGCGGTCGTCCCAGGGTTACACCTTCAGCCTTGGCTGTGGCTCAGTTTCTTGGCGTTCTACTCGCTCTTCTTCTGTTCTCAGCTCCAGTTGTGAGGCTGAGATCTACGCCACAGCCATGGCTGCTCAGGAGCTACGCTGGCTGACCTACCTGCTGACCGACCTCGGAGAGCGGCCTCGTTCTCCTCCAGTGCTGTACGTCGACAACAAGGCTGCCATTGCCTTGTGTGAGGAGCACAGACTGGAGCACAGAACGAAGCACATCGCTCTGCGGTACTTCCTTGCTCGAGAGCTGCAGCAGCGTGGTCAGCTTTGTCTGCGTTACGTGGCCACGGAGGCCAACACTGCTGATGTGTTCACCAAGGCGCTTCAGCCTTGTGACCATCAGCGCTTTTGCACTCTGCTAGGCCTTGTACCCACTGGGCCTCACTTACTTACCTCTTGACCTTGCCTGTACTGTGATCACTATATATATATATGCCTACTTGTTTACTTTTGCTAGGTTGTGATCACTGTATCTCTTGCTTTGTTATAAACCTGCATGTGAACTGGTCTTGTGACCGCTTGCTTGTGCTCGGAATTTGTGTGGAATCCTTGAGATCCACCCTGAGCTTGCTTTGCTTTGCTTTGACTGGTCTTGTGACCCTGTGGTTGTCTCCCACTGCGCCTATGGGGGTGTGTCAAACATTGCATGTTTATATTGTCTAGGCTGTAGTGGGTTACACCTTAGGGGGTACACAAAGTTAGGGTTTCCTACTTGTACCAAACTCTGTTCTAGTTCATTCATTCCTGCTCAGTTATTTCTGACAAGGAGACGTTGTCAGTGTGCTACCAGTGCAGTTTCATCAGCCTCCCGTTGAGCCTTTGATAGACCACCTCCTTGGATGTGCAGATTTCCGCATCACGCTCCAGAAGGAAGGAGAGGTGCAGGCGCCAATAACGAAGTTTCGCGATGTACACTGCTTGCAGCTCTTGGAACTTCGTCGTCCACCTGGCGTTAACAGAGAGCTTTGCATTCCATCCACGCTTCATCAGCATCTTAACAGTATCCATGACACAAACATCTCCTGAGCGAGCACAAAGGGAAGTAGCAAAATGACAGTAGTCCTGAAATGCATTGCTGCTTCCTTGTCATGATCCACATCCATTTCGTCGTCGGAATCATCGTCAAGCAGAACCTCGTCAACAGCACCGCGTGTCGGAACTGACTGCCTTTCCGCCATTGTCAACCCAGATCCGCCAGCAGATCCGTTGTCATCTGGAGTGGAGGTGTTCACATTGTCTGTGTTGTTGGTGTTCTCCCCTGACCTGGGTTCCTTGGCAGGCTCGTCAGGAGAGTCGCCAGGAGCAGCAGGAGGGTCAGTGACAGTCTTAGAGCGGGGACCCTTGGCAGGAGCCATAGTGCGATGATGAGAAAAGGCAGATGATGACTTTGCTGAATGCAGAAGTCGTAGTAAGAGTGATCTGCCGGTAAGCTGAGCACATCATGGTTAAGTAGTGTCATGGACCCCGCTGGAACTAGTCGTTCTTAGAGTAGATGATGCGAAACCGAGGTAGACTCCTCGGGATCGTAACTTATAATAGGCTTGATAATAAAACGGTAGTTAGAAACCTTAATCTTGCAGGATAACAGACCGAGCAATGGCGATCTCGAGGGTGCCTGGAGAACTCCATGATAGGTTGCCTTGTAACACGGTGAGCCAATGTCAGCATTAATGACTGGTCTCCCGACAGCTAAGTTACGGACGAACCCAATGGTATAAAAGGAAGTTCGCACAGAGCACTCTAGCGGGGACATTTCGCGGCTCGAAGTTGGTAAAATCCATGGCGGACGTAAGGCGCGGAGCATGTGAATTGTGCAGTTTTCAGAACAGGTGGTTTAGATTGAGGATGATAGACAGACAGACAGACAGAGTACAGCTCGGGGTACAGTCAAGTTTGATGAGTGCATTGACGTTAAATTTACGAAAAAAACGACCATGTTTAAAGTTGGACCCGCCGTAAAACTGCAATCACATATACAAGGTCGAACCCCAACGTTCGACCTTGTAAAAAACGCACCGAGCTGCGTGTCAATAATTTAGATTACCCGGATCGCCTAGGTGCCACGACGTTGCCACGTGGCTACCGACGAGAACCCTAATCGTGAAATGTCTTCGTCGTGCCATCTCTAGCTTCGCGAAGCCCTCGCCCGTTTCGTCCGCTCCTCGTACGTGCTGTAGATCACACACGCTCGCACAAGCGTGCGCATGCACGTTCACAACGCCGACTCAAGTTCATATTTCACATTCGAACATGTGTGCGCTGAAAAAATCTTTCTTGGCGAATGACCTTCGACGAAATTGGGGAAGTAGGTAACCACAAAAAGTTTGACCTTTTTTGTAAGTTCAAAATAGATCACACGCGCCCTAACGACAACTCACAACATTCTCTCCCTCGCTCGTCTGTGTCAGACTGCCTATCGTTTCTGACACATTCGTCGCGCTTTGCGAATGTCCTTCTAGATCCATCGTCGCCAACGCTCACGATTCGCCATCACCTCGTCCACTTTGGATGGGCGGTTGGCGATTTCGTTAGCAGCACACCGTCAAACGGTCCGTGCGCCGATCTCCATCTCGGTCTTGCCGAATTTGTGCCTTAGGTTCAGGGGATAAGGGCCCGTTTGACGCGCTTCAATACGGTCTGCCACGGTTCGAAGAGGTGTTGTACGTTCGGCCTCTCAATCATTCAAAAGTGACCCTCCCTGCGGTGATACCAAGGTTGTTTGGTAGTGGTGCTGGTCGGTGCCTTACAAAACGTCGTCTTTCATTTTGGGCCTCCTTCCTAGATTTCTTCTTTGTGTTACCCTTTCATAAGCTGGACGCGCATTCAGAGGGAGTACGTTTAGAGAGAGAAAGAGCTTTCAGCGGTCTACAGAGAGCGAGAACAGCCTCGGCCCGATTCTTGAAAATCCTCAATAACAGCCTCGGCCGGCCTTTCGCCTCTGGATCGGCCCATTGTTTTCCCTCAGCCTTGTGCTTTGAGTCGACTCAAAACACACCTGGGGTCGGCTATGGATCCCGTACAGGCTTTCGCGGACCTTATCGGCACACCCCGCCCAGCCGCGACGTTCCTGCTAGCTAGCTTCGCGTTCGTCCCGATCGCATGGATTCACAGATTCATATCCTCGCCGACACTCCGCCATCTGTACTGCACGGTTACAGGACTACTCTTATCGGCGTTCGTGTTCGGATGGACGGCGTACGCGCACTTCTTCGTGTGCGTGCTCTACGCCATGGTCGTAATGCGCCTGTTTCGGAGAAATTGCGGCGTCCTGACGTTCTTCGGAACGTTCGCGTACTTGATCGGATGGTAAAATTCCCTCGAGCTCGCGTCTCCTCCCGTCTCCTCGCGTCTCCTCCCGTCTCTTCCGGCATCCCCTGCTTCAATCTTCCTTAGCGCACCACCGTTCAGCATGTGCACTTCTCACGGTCAGATTTTCTGATTTTCACGTGCATTTTCCGTCGTTCGATGCGACTCGTCTTCTGAGCCGACTCAGAATTGATCACGTGCATTTCTCACGTTCCCACGTGCATGTTCCCTCCTTCGATGCGATGCGATTCGATTCGACCTCCTGCAGCCACATCATCATGCGAACGCACGAGACCCGCACGGAGGGCGTGCTCGACTGCACAGGCGCGCTCACCGTCCTCGCTACAAAGCTCACCGCTGTCGCGTATAACTACCAGGACGGGCTCACGCTGCTCAAGGAGAAGGACCAAGGCGCAAAAGCCAAGGACGAGAAGGAGAAGGAGCTAACCGAGGAACAGAGGCGGCGGGAGGAGCGGATGGAGCGTTCGCGATTGGAGCGGCGAAAGGCGGCGCTGGTTACCATGCCGTCGGTGGTGGAGCTGATGGGGTACCTGTTCTGCTTCGGGCTGCACATGACGGGCCCGTTCTTCGAATTCAAGGCGTACGACGACTGGACCCGCCGACAAGGGGTACGCTACGCACGCATGCTGGACTGAACTCGACGGGCGTCCATATGCATTGTGTTGATGTGTTGTGCTTCCCATATCCATATCCATATCCATATCCCTATCACCGGGCTGGTAGTGACGTTACATGCATGTACGTAGTATTCCCCTCTCAGCTGATCGTCATTTCTCATGGTGCATATACTTTTCCCCCTCACGCTCGCGCAGCCGTCCCCCCTTCCGCCATGCTCCTGCGCGCCCGTTCTTAGCGTCATCCCCGCTCTCCTCTCCTCATTCTTCTGTCCGTTCCCACCCATCCCCCTCATCGCCACCTGCAGATCTGTCCCCCTCGCTCGCCCTCACGCGCTCCCACGTTTTACATTCGTGTGTCACACCTTGCCACAAATTATGGACGCCACATCAGCAGAGCTACGCGCACACACGCATTTGATCCCTACCCGTTTGTATGCTATGCTCCCATCCACCCCCCTCCTCACCAACCACCTGCAGATCTGGTCCGCGGGTCTCGAGCAGCTCTCAAAAGCATTTTTTCATAAAAAAACAATCTCAAAAACAACCACTTGTGTCCCTGGGTCTCATGCTGCCGGCAATCCTCCCCGCGTTCTTCCGCACGTTCGTTCAGGGCAGCCGTCGCCTCACCATTGCTCTCTTCCTCATCCATCTCGTTCCTTCAGGGCATCCTCGCAGCAATTGCCTCCCTCTTCTCTCTGTTCCCATCCACCCCCCTCCTCACTGTTGCCCGCAGATCTGGTCCCCGGGTCTCAAGCAGCCGGCCATCCTCCCACCATTCCTCCGCGCGTTCGTCCAGGGTATCCTTGCAGCGATCGTCTTCCTCCTCTCTCTGTTCCCACCCACCCTCCTCTTCTCCTCCCTACCCGCAGATCTGGTCCCCCAATCTCAAGCAGCCGGCCATCCTCCCACCGTTCCTCCGCGCGTTCCTTCAGGGCATCCTCGCAGCAATCGTCTTCCTGCTCGTCTCGCCCTCGCTCGACCTCTCTCGCATCAGCGACCGCCGCAAGAACCTCTCCTACCCCTTCCACCTGCGCTGGCTGTTCGCGCACCAGGCGAGCATCGTGTGGCGCTTCCGCGCATACATCCTCTGGAGCATCACAGAGGCCGCCATGGTCGTGGGAGGGTTAGGCTTCAGCGGCTGGGAGGTTCCCAAAGGGGAGGGGGCGAAGGGGGATGGGAAGGGCGTGGCCGGGAAGGGGGGAGTGGAGGGGGTGAAGGGGAGTGGGAAGGCTGGGGATGGGGATGGGGGGAAGGGGGAGGGTGATGAGACGTGCGCAGCGCCGGTAGGGGAGGGGGAGGGGAAGGCGCTGTGGAGCCGGGCGCGCAACGCGGATATTCTTGGGTTTGAGTTCCCCAAGAGCTGCCTTGACTTTGCCACCACGTGGAACATCTCCTATGGCCTCTGGCTCCGACTGTGTGAGTCTTGAGATGACGTATGACTTCTGTGAGTCTTTCTGTGAGAGCACGGCCTCTGGCTCTGGCTGTGTGAATCTTGAGATGACTCAGTAGTCACCTGGTTAAGGCTCTGTGAGTCTCGAAATGACTGTTTGGTTGACTCGAAGATTGACTTCGCCACCACGTGGATCATCTCCTACGGCCTCTGGCTCCGACTGGCTAAGGCTCTGTGAGACTGGCTAAGGCTCTGTGAGACTGGCTAAGGGTCTGTGAGACTGGCTTAGGCTCTGTGAGACTGGCTTAGGCTCTGTGAGACTGGCTAAGGCTCTGTGAGACTGGCTAAAGCTCTGTGAGACTGGCAAGGCTTTTCCACCAAGTGGAACATCTCCTATGGCCTCTGGCTGCGTCTCTGTGACTTCAGGTTCGACTCAATAGTCACCATTCCATCCTCTCACCCCTGGTTTCCTGCTCCCCCCTCAATCAAGTACGAGCAGATGGTGCTGTCTGGCAGCAAGGCCAGCTGGGCTCTGCCATACTCCGTGCTTCATGCTTCATGCTTCGTGCTTCATGCTTCATTCTTCATTCTTCATTCTTCATGCTTCATGCGTCATGCTTCATTCTTCATTCTTCATGCTTCATTCTTGTCTGCTGCTCTCGTGTCTTGGTCTTTATTCTCGCCCCCTGGCCACCCGCACCCTGCTCAGACGTGTACGAGTGCATGGTGCCACCCAGCAGGAAGGCAGCTTCTTTCCACATGCTCGCCACCATGTTTCATTCTCACCATCCCCCACCCGCACCCTGCCTCCATTCTCGGCGCTTCATTCTCACCCCCTGCCCACCCTCTGCTCAGATGTGTACGAGTGCATGGTGCCACCTGGCTGGAAGGCAACTCTCTTCCATATGCTCGCCACCATGTTTCATTCTCACCATCCCCCACCCGCCCTGCATCCACACTCCATGCTTCATTCTCACCCCTGGCCGTTCTCTCACCCTGTTCAGACGTGTACGAGCGCATGGTGCCGCCCGGTAGGAAGGCCACCTTTTTCCACATGCTCGCCACCATGTTTGTCAGCGCCATCTCCCATGTGAGTCACATGCTCCCTTGCCCTCTCACATGCTCGCCACCATGTTTGTCAGCGCCATCTCCCATGTGAGTCACATGCTCCCTTGCCCCCTCCCCTCCATGTGCGTTCCTCCTTACCCCGTTCCATATGCGTTCTTCCTTTTTGCATCCCATGCTTCTCTCGCCCATGTGCGCGACCCCTAGCCCCATGTGTACGCTCCCTTGCCGTCCCTCACAAGCATCACCCACATGTCGTTCTCTCCTGTCCCCTTTTTGCGTCACCCTACCTCACTCTCATGCAAGCAGCTAAAGCCTCGTATTGGCATATGATAGCCAATCAGTGAATACACCTGTCTCACTTTCTGGTTTTGGCACCACGAATGCTAGCTGTCAACAGTCGCTGTAGCTTCTAATGATTGCCCCTTGGTATCGTCAAGAACAATCTCCTCACTTGTTGGCACACTGCTCCTGTCACAACCAATGGGACCGTCACATTGCTGTGTCTCACTTTCACTCGGATTTTCTGCCTCCAGTCATTCCTTAGTTTCAGGGCTCTGGTTTCACCCTCAGAAATGCCCAAATGTCCACACTTTGTCCAGCAACATACTCTTTTTTCTGTTACCTGCAGGGCTTGAATTGGGGTGACTTCATATTCTTTGCTAACTGGGCGATTGTTGTTGCCAGCTCAAAAGGTGTGCACACTCCCCTCAACACCCATCGTTAACTTCAGCAATGAAACTTGAGAGTGTTAAAAAATCAAGTTTGCGCCAAACCCCACAATCTGTTGCAGTTTTGACAGTATACTTTCATTCTTGTGTCTTTTTTTCCAAGTCCAGTTCTTTTCTCCTTCCTTTTCTCATGTCCATTCCCATTCACCTTCCCGTGTTCCATTACCACGCCCATGCACATGTTCCGCTCTAATCATTGCAGCTTCATATCCCTTGACCTGGGATCGTCAGCCCTTGCTCACTTCCACTTCAATGCACCTCCTTCAAACGGATTTCCCCTCTCCTTCCCGTCATCTCGCTTCCCTCGCATGCAGCCAGCTACCAGCTCACTGCAGGAATTCCCAAGGGCACCATCACCCGCCGCTGCAGGTTGATTTTGAGAATTCTCAAAATCTATCTTTGATTTCCCCTTTCCTTCCCGTCATCTTGCTTCCCTTGCATGCAGCCATCTACCAGCTCACTGCAGGAATCCCCAAGGGCACCATCGCCCACCGCATTGTGGCACTTCTCCACACCCTCTACGGCATTTTTGTCTGCAGCTACATGGCCAGCGCCTTCTGTGTAAGATGTTTCCATATATGTTTCCGTGAAATTTACTGCTTTTCCACAAAATTACGTCTTGACTCAAACGCCATAGTGAGTCGACTCGAAAGTCATTGCGTCATCATCGGCTACATGGCCAGCGCGTTCGGGACGCTCGACTACTTTGACTACTCCACAACTGGTTACTTTTCCGTGGATTGATATATACTAAACCTTGCTGCAGTGCAGTCATCTATATCTCGCTTTGGGCCTCTATGCTACCCACTCCTTAATGCTCGTTGTCTTTGCCTCTTTTGTGCTTGTTTGCGATGGCTGTTCTTGGTGCAGGTGATGACACTATCAGGTGCATATTCGGCATACAGTGGCATGTACTATACTGGTACTGTCATTCCAATTCTCCTGATTATTCTGTCGATGGTGTACAAACCTCGCCGCCCGAAGACTTTCAAGACAGAGTAGCACTTACCTACCCGAGGGGCACTAGCATTCCAGCATATCGATGCAGTATGTAGTTGAAATTGATTAATGTCCATGCCAGATCCGTGTTAGAAATTTCATGGATTCAGTTATCCTCCGATTGTATGGCATCTCGCTACTCTAGAAGATAGTGCATTCTCGTATACGTCATAATTTTTTTCGGAAGAAAATGGATTCAGTGTAGATGCATAAATTGGAGAGCGGCATTGTCAACAATTGGGGATGGAATCATGGGACCACGTCAACCTTCGCCATTGGTAGGACCGATTACGCAGATCTACAATCACATATTTGGCGTGTCACGAACACACATCCATGACTGGCTTCGTGATCTTCCACCCTCGAAACCAGCCAATCCCAGATCATCCAGCAGCTCAGGCGATCCTGAGTTGATCCGGATTACGGGCCACACTCCACCCGAGCCCAGCCAACCACCAAACCAACCACTTCAGCTTGCTGGCCCTCTCTCCCGCTACATCCCTCCCAATCCCTTCTAACCGCACTTTCCCGTCATTCAACCCCCCAATCAGCTCCACCCATTCCCAAATCGCCAACATTGAAATACCGCCATCATTGATGCATCTTGCAAGTCAGCCGCAATTCGATCAGCAGCAGACTTCCAAACTCTCCAGGAACCCTCGCAGCTACTAGCTGTACCCTTTCCGCAGTCGACAATGGCCGCTCTCGCCAACGCCGCTGTGCTCCCGTCCACCTTCGTCGGCCAGAGCGCTGAGCTCGCCGCCAAGGTGAACAATGTCGAGGCCCGCGTCACCATGAGGAAGACCGCCAAGGCGGCTTCCAGCAGCGCCTTCTATGGCCCCGACCGCAACCTGTTCCTGGGCCCGTTCTCCTCCCCCCCGTCGTACCTGACCGGCGAGTACCCCGGCGACTACGGCTGGGACACCGCGGGTCTGTCCGCTGATCCTGAGACGTTCGCCAAGAACCGCGAGCTGGAGGTACGTTGCTGGTTGCAATTTGAATGTTTTCACAAAACATTTGCAGGAATTTCGATGGTTCTGAATCTACAATTTCGTCGGCTTACTATCTGCTGTTTTCGCAATTCTGACCAAGTCCACCGTTTCCTTCGCTCTTACTCTGTTGATCAGGTGATTCACGCCCGCTGGGCTCTTCTCGGTGCCCTCGGCTGCCTGACCCCCGAGCTCCTCGCCAACAACGGCGTTGAGTTCGGTGAGGCCGTGTGGTTCAAGGCCGGTGCCCAGATCTTCTCTGAGGGTGGTCTTGACTACCTCGGCAACCCCAGCCTGATCCACGCCCAGTCCATCCTGGCCATCTGGGCTTGCCAGGTCATCCTCATGGGTGCCGTCGAGAGCTACCGCGTGGGTGGCCTCGAGGGCTTCCAAGAGGTTGAGGACCCCCTGTACCCCGGCGGTGCCTTCGACCCCCTGGGTCTGGCTGACGACCCCGAGGCTCTTGCTGAGCTCAAGGTGAAGGAGCTGAAGAACGGCCGCCTCGCCATGGTGTCGATGTTTGGCTTCTTCGTCCAGGCCATCGTCACCGGCAAGGGCCCCCTGGAGAACCTGTCCGACCACCTGGCTGACCCCACCGTGAACAACGCCTGGGCCTATGCCACCAACTTCACCCCCGGCGCTTAAGCGTGTTCCTAGCTTTGGTGTATAGGTGCCCTACATTTGTAAGCATCTGTTACTGAACTAGTAGCCAGGTTTTCGTAAATGCCCCTCGCCAAGAAGCAAAACCTACGGCTCGCACATAAGAATGAACCTTACCAATGCGAAGACCATATACGTCCACGTCCTTGCAGTCCCCTGCATCGTAATTCTATAATCGCAAGTCAGTGCTCCCCTTCATGCCCTTTCACCGTATGTCACCCCCTTCTACAGTCTTCCAATTCTTGTTTCGTATAGTTTCTAAATTCCCTCGAGAAACTGCTGAATACGTCCACAGCTCACAATTCTCTTTCCGAATCAATGTATATGAACTACTCTCATTGCAACTCAGTTTCCAAATTCATTGTGTGCATGCCAGGACAGTAAGTTCTTTGAACATCAATACAATACATCCGTATATCCAGGGGAATATGATACTATCCTTACCTTATGTCGATTTCTGCCCCTCTCTTCCCATATCGCTGCATATGTTTGTGGCACTTGAATGACTACCGATCCCTAGAATGCCAAACAAGCATACCATATGCAGCAGCTGAATGTTAGTCTGACTGATCATGTTGCAGGTCCCCTCTCCATCCTTGCCCTTCCAATCCAACTCAGTGTTACTCTGAGTGCCTGTGCTGCATGACCTGCACCAAGGCAGTTCCAACTCCTGTCCTTCCAAATCAGTGTTCTTGGACAACACTTGCTGCTACTCAATGCCAACCCGCATGCCCGCGCTGCAGGTCCTGCACCATAGCTTGCAGTAACTTCAACCCAGTCCTTCCCTGCATGCCCGTGCTGCAGGTCTGCATCATCTGTGGGTCACCCACAACTGCTGTAGCACCAACAGCAGACGTGCCAGTGCTTGCCCGCATGCCCGTGCTGCAGGTCCTGCACCATCTGCAGCTCACCCCCTTCTGCTGTAGCACCAACAGCAGATGTGTAGCACCAACAGCAGATGTGTCAGTGCTTGTCTGCATGCCCTTGCTGCAGGACCTGCACCATGGCTACTCCTGTCCTTCCAAATCAGTGCTGTGGGCTACACTAGTTGCAAGTCAATGCTTATCTGCATGCCCATGCCGCAGGTCCTGCACCATAGCTTGCAGTAACTTCAACTCAGTAATTCCCTGCATGCCCTTGCTGCAGGTCCTGCACCATGGCTCTCACTGCCTTGCTGATCTGCTCCAACCGAGTTGCTCCCAGCACCATCTGCGCCTCCCCTTCTCCTCCTGCTGCACCCACAGCAGACGCGTCGCTTGCTGCGCCTCTTGCTTCGTCCACCAGGCTTTCCGACAGCAGCCGGTGCCTCGCCGCGTCCTGCAAGTGGGGAGAGAGGAGGGGTGATACAAAGTGGGAAAAAGATATCGCTCTTGAGACTCCAGCTTAGGCTTTCCAACAGCAGCCGGTGCCTTGCTGCTGCTGCATCCTGCGCATGAGGAGAGAGGTGATTGAGCATGATACTAGGGAGTAGGGAGCATGATACAAGGGAGTAGGGAGCATGATACAAGGGAGTAGGGAGCATGATACTATCGAGTGGGAAGCACAGGCCTTGTTAGCTAGGTTTCCATGTTTGAGGATGGAAGCTACACCACAATCTGATCTGAAGAGAGCAGAGGTGACTTTTGAGGCGACTCAAAAGTCAGCATGTTTGAGGATGGAAGCTAGACCACAATCTGAAGAGAGCAGAGGGTAAGGAGGTGCTAAAAACATGCCCAGCTGACCACTCGACATGCTCTCACTACTCACCACTTGCCATGCTCTCACCACTCCCAGTGCTGTCACCAATTGGCATGCTCTCACCACTTGCCATGCGCTCACCACTCACCACGCTCTCACTGGCCACGATTTCACCACTCTTCATGGTCTTACCATTTGCCATGCTCCCACCACTTGCCATGCTCTCACCACCACTCACCATGCTCTCACCACCACTCACCATGCTCTCACCACCACTCACCATGCTCTCACCACTCACCATGCCTCACCACTCACCACTTGCTGCTGTGCCATTCTCCAGTAAAATAAAACAATGACTATGCCTCTCACTCACCACTTGCCGTGCTCTCACCAATCGACTTGATTACCCATTTGCTCACCACTTGCTGCTGAGCCTCACGACTCACCACGTGCTGCTGAGCCCGGTCGCATGCGGCTTGAAAGAGGTCCACTCGGCTCTGAAACACCTCCAGCGCTGATGCTACCGCCACCTCACTGCGCGGCGCACTGGAGCTGCTTATAACGGGGACAACGATGGAAATCGGGGAAACAGATCTATGGGATAAGGAGGAGCACATGAGGTGGAAACGAGGAAGACAAACCCCTCTATAGCGAGAAGGTGAGGAAACTGAAATGCAGAGGGAGATGAGGTGCTGGGCAAATTAAAATAGCCTGAGTGAGAGAATACAGAGGGAAGTGGGAGAGAGATGGAGAGAGGGAGGGAGCGCATGGGAAAGCAGCGTGTTTACCCTGACTGTGTGTCACTACAAGGAGCCAAGGAAGCGGCCTCCACGAGCAAGGGATATTTGAGACATGTCCAAAAGAGTGTGAGGGAGAGCAGCGTGTGTACCCTGAGTGCGCAGCGCATCACTACGAGGAGCGGCGTGTGTACCCTGAGACATCTCAATTAGAGTGTGAGGGAGAGCAGCGTGTGTACCCTGATTGTGTGCCACTACGGGGAGCTGAAGAAGCGGCCTCCACGAGCAAGGAGGCAGACGCGAGCACCTCCTGTTCAGACACAGGAAGGATGGATGGCACACAAGGGAGGATGGCAGGGCGATAGGATGGCAGGGCGAAAGGATGGCAGGGCGATAGGATGGCAGGGCGATAGGATGGCAGGGCGATAGGATGGCAGGGCGATAGGATGGCAGGGCGATAGGATGGCAGGAGAGGAAAGGTGATGGGAAGTGGGAGATGAAAGAGAGGGCAGTGCGAGACGAAAGAAAGAGTGGACAAGCCGAGTGGAAGGGTGTGTAACGCATTGATGGAAGGAGGGTGGAAGGGTGGTGGAAGGAGAAGGAGCGAGCAAGCCGTGCATGAAATGGCGAGACGCACATGGAAGGAGAGATGACAGGGTGCGTAAGGATTTGGAAGGGTAGTGAAGGGTGGCAGGGGAAGGAGCTTGAACCAGCAGTGCGATGCATGGAATGGAGAGACGCACATCGAAGGAGGTCTGAAGGCGAGCCGTTATCGCATCCATCGGCTGGAGTTCCCCAGTCGCCAGCGTAAGAAGATCTCAGCCGTCCGTTGCAGCTCTTCTTCAGAGGTACAACGTCGAGGATCGGGGGAAGAAGCAGCGCGGAAAGGCAGAGGGGGGAGTTACAGCGGAGCGGGGGACGTGGAGTAAAGGGGAGAGACGAAGCGGGAGCAGGAGAGAGAGAAGAGCAAGTGAGCAGAAGAGAAGAGCTGGAACGAGAGAGCAGCAGGAACGAGAGAAGAGCAGGAACGAGAGAACAGATGGGAGGCGCTACACAAGGTCTCCTGACGGACGGTAGTCAGGGGCGCAGAGCCGCAAGGGACGGAGATGGAACGACCTGAACGACGGACGCGACGCGCACGTGGCATTTCAAACGCCAGGGTTTAGAGTCTAAAAAGCACCTCATTCTGTTGTCACACGGCGTTTGTTTCAGTCAGCTCGAACCTGGCATGTGTATCAGGGAGAAACAAACAGGAGGAGTTGAGACGTACAATTCGATAAGGCGACCTTCAAGTGGAACAGGGGGAAGGACTCCTTTCGGAAATGGATGAAGCGGCACCCGAGACGATAGCGCGGAGTGCACTATCGCTGCTGCGTGAAACACTTCACCTACGCCGCTTGCCCTGGTGGCTTTTGGGGAACCGTGGCACACCTTGAGGGCGTATCACATCGCCAACCATTCGCGAAATTGGCTTTTGGCCGAATATCCGTCGACCATATATGGTCGTCATTTCTTTCACGAAATTCGACGGATTGGTCGACAAAGCGTCGACATATAAACGACCAGGATTTGCAGTTTTGCAGTTTTGACAAATTTGATGGCCGATTTGCAGGCCGTTGTCTCGAAGTTGTCAAATTTGCAGTTGCTACAGTTGCCGAATGTGTGCGATGGAGTCGCAAATTTGACAACGATAATTTCATAAGCCGTGCGTTTACGTGTCGCATCATCGCATGTGCCTGTCGTTCATCGTGTCGACTAGTTGGCCGGTTTGGAGTCGTCACGATGTACGGTCTGGTTTCGGCCCGTTCAAACGGCCATCGAATTCGCAAAACTGTTACGAAGCTAACGACGCTCGCCAGGATTTAAGCGAACGTCTTTATGCAGTTACCTTCCCAAACAACAGCCCGATGGATTTTCCGAAATTTGTTCGTTTGGCGATGTGACACACCCTAGTTCGCAACATCCTCCCTACACAAAGCAGGTGATTCCTCGTTTCATCTTTGACGTTGTAATTGTTGCATAGAAGATACACAAACTAAAACATAAGAAACTTCACATGCTCTCTTTCCCTTCGGGATTCTACGATCCCATGCCAAAACTATATATATCCTTTAAGCCCACCACAAAAAATCCAACCATAAATATTTGAATGCCTGTTGGCAATCTAAGGGTACGTTCCTGACTCGTGTCAAACTTCCAGTCTTCCGGGGATGACACAAAGCTCGCCCCACAGCTGGCCCCACTTTGGGTCATCTGAGACCCACTTCGGTTCTTCCCGCAAAAATTTGCCCCTGGCTCGAAAAACACAAAGTTTTGCTATGATCAAAAGGGGATCGCTCCCAGGATCTACTCGGGAAGGTTCGCACGCAATTAATAAGTGTTGGTGGGCCCTTGATCTCAATAGCAGAGTGTATGTAAAATGCTTGAGATTGATTAGAACATGCAAAAACAGCGATATAAATAAGAGTGCAGGGAATTCGAATCGACCTAGCTAGCCATGTACTCTAAGGAGTACATTCCCTTATTCAAATTCATTCCCAACCGTGCGGCGCGTACAGTTACGAAAACTGTTCCCGCTAGTTCCTCTTGCCTGCAGCTGCCCGATGTTGTCTGCTCCGACGGTCCGGATCCGTCCCAACCGTTCTGACGCTTCGAGTCAGTTCAAACTCCTCGTATTCGTTCTCGATGCTGCATGCTTCCTTAGTTCAGGTTAGGAGTGCACAGTAATGTCTCAAACATTTCCACTCGTAACACCCCCTTCACTCCTGGCCGTAGCTCGTCTTGACCTGCTTGACCACTCCGCTGAGTTCGGAACAGTGCTGGTACTGCTAACGTGGCAGTCGCCTCATAAGGAAGTCTGCTGCCATGTCACTGGTCGGGCAGTAGGTCAGTAGGTGAATGGCCTCGGGCGCGTAGGAGATGTTGAGGCCTAAGAATTGCTTCACCTCGTAGTTACACGTGATGTCGACGCGCCCCGCCAGGCTTTTCTCGAACTGCTTCAGAAGTTCGTTGCTTGAGCCTGTGTATAGTAAGTCGTCGACGTAGACCGTGAGCAGAATGTATTCGTCCCTGAAATCACAGCGGTACATCCCAGGATCGTGCGGCATCTGCTTGAACCTGATTTCAAGCAGGATGTTGCGTAGATACTGTTGCCAAAGCCTCGGTGCATGTTTTATCACGTAAAGAGACTTGCGCAGCTGGCATACGCGCGAATCCCCTTCGCCGTATGTGTGGGGCTGCTCCACGTAGATGACGACGTCTACTAACGCGTTTAGGAACGCGTTCTTCACGTCGATCTGGCTTAGAGGCAGGTGTCGAGCGGCTGCGATGGCGAGCAGGATTCGGACGGAGGTGTGGCGGCTGACCGGAGCAAATGTCTGATCGAAATCAATCCCGTGCCTCTGGTCGTAGCCGCGCACCACCCATCTTGCCTTGAAGCGCTCGATCGTTCCGTGTGCTGCGATCTTCACGCGGAAGACCCATTTTTCCCGAGAGAACTCTCGCGCCTTTGATTGTTGCGCGGTCGATTTGTCAGAATCCCAGTCACTAACCACTGGGATAAAAGGGCTTGTTTATATAGCGGGTGAGTGCGCCCATAACCCCCCAGGCCGACGTGCCTGTAACCCTTCCCTAGGATCATCGGGGATCCACAGTGGACCTCTGACACCCCCCCGCACTGGGATGCCCGAAGTGCACACACCGGGAATCGATCCCGAGACCTTCGCTCTGATACCATGTCAGAATCCCAGCCACTAACCACTGGGATAAAAGGGCTCGTTTATATAGCGGGTGAGTGCGCCCATAACCCCCCAGGCCGACGTGCCTGTAACCCTTCCCTAGGATCATCGGGGATCCACAGTGGACCTCTGACACGATTAGCACCCAGGTATCTCAGGATTCAAGTGCTTTAATTTCCGCGTCCATCGCCTTGCGCCATTCCTTGCTGTGTGGTCAAGTGAGAGCTTGGCGCGGGTTTTGTGGCTCGATGACACGCGGTGCTTTCAAGGTTGCCGTGTGGAGCCCGAGCAGCTGCAGTCCTGAGACAGTGCTGTCGTGGCGACGTTGCGGGATGACTTCCTGCACATCGTCATCATCGCTCTCTGGCTCGGGTGGCGCTGATGGTGTTGCGCCTCGCCGCTTCCGCCCGTTCCGCCCATTCCTCCTTCAGGGGGGTCGTCGTCGTCGCTGCTGTGGCGATCTCCCCATGTGAACTCGCCCCTGGTATCTTGCTCCTGAATTGCTGCGGCGGCTTCGTCCTCGGGTGTTGCGTAGCTGTGCCCGTTGTTCGCGTAGACGCAGTTCACATTTGTCTGCTCGTCGTGGCGGAACTAATCGAGGAAGAGGCGTTCGTAGAATATCACGTCGCGGGCGCGGGTGGTCTTTTGACTGACCAAGTCTAGGATGATCCATGCCTTGTGCTCGTGACTGATGCCGAGGTGAATGCCCCATCGCGCGCGGCTGGCGAATTTCCCGATGGTTGACGTCGGCGGGCGGTATTGAACCATGCACCCCCACACGCGGAGCATGGATGTGTCCCCTTTAGTCCCGGTCCATTTTACATGCGGGGATAGGTTGCCGGTGATGGCGGTGGTTGACAGTAGGTTGTGCACCCGTACGGCGTGGTGCATCGCGTAGGTCCAGTAGATTGGCGGTAGCTTCGACTGCTTCATCAGCGCCCACACTTTTGTCATGAGCGTGCGGTTCGTCCTCTCAGCTACGCCCTGCTGCTGGTGGGCGTAGGGGAGAGAAATGTGATGCTCGATCCCCTTTTGTGCCAGGTAGCTCTGCATCTGGTTGCTTCTGAATTCTGCTGCGCCGTCAGACTGCCAAATTTTCAGCTTTTGTTCCGACTGTCGTTGCGCGTGCGCCAGCCAGAGTCGGAATACCTCATAGGTTCTGTCGCAGGTTCCTACGTTTGCGACCCACACGTAGCGCGTTCTAGCCTCGATGAAGGTAAGCGTGTACATTTCGTCGTCGACTCCGCAGTGCCCCACGTTCAGGAAGTCGTTGTACACTTTGTGCAACTTGGGGTAGCGGTTTGTTTCTAGCTCGAGCAGGGGGAACGACTGATGGCTTAGCGCAGCTTCGGGGCAGACGGTGCAGTTGCGTCTCTTACTTCGGTGCCGTCTGGACGCAGGAGCGCTCCAGGAGCGAAGATGCCTGCGTCAATGCAATTTTTCAGTGTCGCGCGGGAAGGGTGGCCGAGGCGCTGGTGCCAGAGCGCATCGTCGGCGCGGAAACCGGAGGTGCGCATGTAGCGTGCGCAAGCTTCTTCGGGGTCTTTGTCAGATACGGGGGCAGGTTCTGCTGCTACCTCTTCTGCTGCTTCTTCTTCGTCGTTGGTGGTGGTCATCATTAGTGCCAGAAACTCTCTGTCGCGAATTTCAGAGAGAGGGATGTTAGTCCCAGGGATGGTTCCAGGGACAAAGGTGGGTTCACGCGGTTCGGGAGCGGGTCCATAGACGGCACGGCGCGGAGTTGACGGCTCGTCGCCCCAATCGATGGTGTCCCAGGGGTTGCGATGCGGCGGAATGTCACGCGGAGGCAGCGCGGGTGGAGCATGCCGCGGGGGACGACCAAGGGGAACAACTGCAGCTTCTGCTGTTTCTTCTCCCCCCCTTTGTTCTTCGCGGGAAGCCCCCCAGTCTCCGGCAGTGGTGCCCCAGCCGCTAGTTTCGGCCGTTCCCCATCAGCCGACGCTCCCCCACCCCCCTTCATTGGAGGCGCTCTCTTCCGCTTCGGCTCCCCAGGAGCCGTAGGCGAATGTTCCGCGTGCTTCGGC